TAAAAGTCACCCTGCCTCCCCGCCACTCCTGAACCCCAGCTTCCCATGGGTGCCCACACTCCTTCCCTGTGCTGACCAGCATACACTGGACGACAAGCCACACACTTTCGGTCAGTATCTGGTCCTGTCTCCCTGCGCACCACTCCACCTGCATCCCCAAAGCCTCCCGAGACGCGTTTCCAGGGGCAAGGGCTCCCCCTCACTGAACCCTGATGGCAGGGCTTTCAGGCGAGGACCATGGGGGGGAGGGGATAAGACGCAGCTCCAAGGGTTTGTGCCTGTCATCACCCTCATGGCCTGGGTCTTAATGCCTGATGGTCACGTTAACAGACATTGGGCTGCGTCACATAGGAGCAGGGACCACGTCTTCATCCTTGAAGCCTCCCATTGCGCCTGGCAAATGGCCTGTGTGGATAAATGGTTACTCCTGGGCCACAGAGCTCTCTGGGCCAACACCCACTATGCCCGGTGCCCAGCTACCCAGAGCCTTGAGACAGTGTTAACAACAAGGCTTCTCACTCCTGCTCCTCACAATGACTGCAGACCCTCAGTGAAGGGATCAGGCTACCTCCTCAAGTGCGGGCAGCTTCCCGTGGGCCCAGGTTGCTTCTTACAGGAGGGAGAGCCTGGCAGTGGGTGGATCAGTGGCAGGCCCTGGGCCGTCCCTTGGTTGAGGACAGCCTAGGAAGAGGCGCTGCCTTTGACTTCCTTCTCCACATCCCAAAGTCTGTCTTCCTCAATTCATCTCCTAACGCCTGCATCCTGTGTCGGTGCCTGTCAGGCCGAGGAAACTCGCCTTTAAAATGGCTGAAAAGGCACCGATCGGGGGGAAGTGCTCAGTGGGAGCTAAGCGGCTCCTGCTTCCCAGCCCCTACCAGGATTTCGGTCTTGTCTCCGGCAGTGAGAGAACCGCGGCCCCGAGGTCTCCGTGGGTCAGGGCTGCTGTGGGGCCTCGGTCCTTGGCAGTGGGATGCCCAGGGCAGAGTGAGCCGGCCGGCGGCGGGCTTCGGCCACCTGGCTCGGGGAGCAGAAGTCTTCCAGGAAGACCTGGGCCAGGTTCCGGAGCCGCGTGTTGGCCGAGAGAGAGAAGCGCAGCATGCACTGGACCACGGGCGTGGCGGTCAGCTCGGGGTGGGAGCCGGGGCCTGGCGAGCTCAGGTACATGATGGTGGTGACAGCGGACAGCACAGTCTCCTCGTTGGGGCTGGACAGGCAGTTGATGATGAGCGGGACGCCCCCTGTCTGCAGGATGTGCTCCTGGTTGGCCCTGTCTGAGCACAGGTTGCAGAGGCCTCCTGGGGGAGAGCAAGGTAAGTCTGGACGCTTCAGCCCCGGCCTCCTCCCTTCTCCCCTTTCTGCTTCTCTCTGCCCACTGAGGCTCAGGAAAGGGCCCGGGCCTGTGAGAAGTGGCCCAGGGACAAGGGACCCAAAGCCCATTCTGGTTTCCAGGAAGGCCTGCCTGCCACAGCCCAGCCTGAAAGTGGGCACTGACCTCCCGGTCCAGCCAGTTCAATGGTTGATATACTTTTTTAAAAAGTAAAAAACAGTCACCAACCCTGGGACCTTCTGGCCCCAGATCTTCACTAACTGCCACCCTCTTGCTGGTAACCAGCATTCACTGCTCCCTCACCAGGGAGGGTTCCCTGGAGCACCCCACTAGCCACTACCCGCCGGGTCCGGGGGACTCCTCACCACCCCGATCCATTTTCTCATGTGCTCAGAACACTTGAGAAGGCGTCTTTGCGGACCGTTTTCCTGGCACTGCCTGGCAGGCCCCACTAGCAGCTGCGTGTCCGCCACCAAGACCTCAGCTTCCTCTTGCATCCCAGCCACCCAACGACTTGCCACCCAGACGGAGGAAGACCCGGAAAGCTGGGGGCCGTGTGAGCCACGGCCACATTGGCCAGCACAGGAAGCACCCGGAGGCCGAGGGACTGCGGGTGCCTTGCGTCATCACAGGCCCAACTCCCAGGGTTACCGCCTGGGCTCCTGTGGGAAAACTGAGGCGTGAGCACGTAAAGAGACCCAGAGCTTCTGCCCAACTGTCAACTCGATAACCGCGGTCGGTGAGCAGAAGATGGAGCTGTTATCACTGACGTGCGGTCCCTGCTAGAGTCCTGGGGAAGGGGCGGCTCCCACAGCAGCCCGTCACCATGGAGGCCAAGTTCTTCAGCAGAAGGGCTGAGGAGAAGGTTAAGGGGTGTGTGTGTGTGTGTGTGTGTGTCCTGATAGTTTTTTGTTGTTTTTTTAAAGATATTTTTATTGATTTCAGAGAGGAAAGGAGAGAGAGAGAGAGAGAGAAGCATTAATGATGAGAGAGAATCACTGATCAGCTGCCTCCTGCACGCCCCCTCGCCTACCAGGAATCAAGCTCGCATGTGCCCGGCATGTGCCCTGACCAGGAATCGAACCGTGACCTCCTGGTTCATAGGTCGATGCTCAATCACTGAGCCCCCCAGGCCGGACTGTGTCCTGATAGTTTGAAGCCACATAGAGGGAAGTTCATTAAATGCTCCCACGTTCTTTGGTTAAAAAAAAGACAACAAAAAACAAGCCTCGGCTGTCTTATTCGGTGCCTGACCCAAGGGGCACTCCGGGAATACTTGTTGGAAGGTTTTAAAGCCGTGAGGGGAGAAAAGGTTGACCTGCAGAGGGTTGGGGGCTGCATGGGATGGCTCCCTGAGACCCAGCCCACCTTGGACCCCCCGTAGTTCTGGATCCAGACTGTGGCTCCCAGACAGTGCATCTGAGGGAGGCCAGGGGCTGAGCGGCGTTCCTGAGGTCAGGAGGGGAGGGAGACAAGGCTCTGACGGAGAGGTCCCTGCCTACTGGACACCCACAGGCCTTCCTGTCAATCCTCCCTCCGTGCCCACTCACCCGCGTCGCACTTGGCACACTGGGCCATCCCTGAGTGTCCGTACTGCTGCCTGTCCTTGTCACTGGGCACCATAAGGCAGGGCCCCACTCTCTGGTGTCCCCCTGTATCCCAGGCACCTACAGCTGCGGAAACTCACTGGACACATGCTGGGGACACGAATGAACCCCACAAAGTATTACCCTCACCCCCATTTCAGCAGAAGCCAAGGCTGTGGAGTAACTCGTCCAAAGTCCCAGAAGATGGGAGCCCTTTGCCACAACCATGGGAAAGGTGTCCCGAAGCTCCAAGGACAACTAACTGCTGTGGGCAGGTGCCAGGCTCGACTAGGAACAGGGACAAGGGCAAATGCTTGGGGAGGCTCAGGCTTCTCAGACACACCTGCACGTCTCTCCTGCCCTGAGAGGGTGAACCAGCCTCCTATCCACCCTGCAGACGCAACCCAGGGGTGGGGATGGGACTTATCTCGCTGTAAAGTAGGAGACAATGAGGACCCAATCACTCTCTGGCTGGTGAGTCATCATCACACCCAGGAGTGCCTGGGCGGGACACTGCCACCAAAGCCAGGGGATAACCAGATGGCAAGCCGGGCAGGGTGGGGGCAGGAGGCCTCAGGAGAGCAGCCCCACCTGTGCCCCAGTTGCAGGCCTGGGAGCCTCCAAGGATGGATCAGGTACCTGCCAGA